AAAAAAAAAAAAAAAAAAGAAAGATGAGACCAGATGGGTGGTATGGGTGGGGCGTGGGCTGTAGCCTCCCATAATCACCATCAGTTGCTTCTCTCAAAGCTTCACCAGAAAAACTTCATTCAGCTTCAAGTCAAATCTCTTCTATAAAGAAATTTTGGCACTTCAGTAATGGAGTTTCCACTTAACACCACAGACCCCAGGTCTATTCTGTGTTATGCATTTTGAAAATCTCTCCAATAAACATATCGTCTTAGACTTTGCTTTGACCCCATTCTTATTTGTGGGTTTCAGAACCATGTGTGCTCAGTACTGCATCTCCTTTGCTGATGTTGAAAAGGCTCATATCAACATTCGAGATTCTATCCACCTCACACCAGTGCTAACAAGCTCCATTTTGAATCAAGTAACAGGGCGCAATCTTTTCTTCAAATGTGAACTCTTCCAGAAAACAGGATCTTTTAAGGTAACAATCCTTTTTCTCAGTGTATCATATGTTTTCAAACCCCTTTACATATCAGTTTGATTCTCCTGACCACCCAGTGAAACAGGCAGAAGTAAATTAACACTTTTATACAGTTCGAAAAAAGGTTACAGAAATTTTCCTTTCAAGTCATTGTTTTACCTAGTATCATAATAGTGTTCACAGCCACTTTCACACAGTCATAAAATCCTTGTAATTAGGATCATATATATAACTTATTATCCAAGTAATCTTTATATGTAACATGTATACATGTCTATATATAATATGTACATAAAATACAGACATGTGCCACATAACAGTTCAGTTGATGACAGACCACCTATGGTGGTCTCTGGTCCCATAAGGCTACAATACCACACTTGTACTGTATATTTCTGAGTTCAGATACACAAATACTTCTTTTTTTTTTTTGAGACGGAGTTTCGCTCTTGTTACCCAAGCTGGAGTGCAATGGCGCAATCTTGGCTCACCGCAACCTCCGCCTCCTGGGTTCAGGCAATTCTCCTGCCTCAGCCTCCTGAGTCGCTGGGATTACAGATACGCGCCACCATGCCCAGCTAATGTTTTGTATTTTTAATAGAGACGGGGTTTCACCATGCTGACCAGGACGGTCTCGATCTCTTGACCTCGTGATCCACCCGCCTCGGCCTCCCAAAGTGCTGGGATTACAGGCTTGAGCCACCGCGCCCGGCCCCTTGATACACAAATACTTCTTATTGTATTATAACTGCCTACAATTATTCAGTACGGCAACATGCTATACAGGGTTTGTAGCCTAGCAGCAATAGGCTGTAACAGCTGGGTTTGTATAAGTACACCCTACGATGCATGTACAATGATGAAATTGCCAAATCATGCATCTCTCAGAACATATACCCATCCTTAAGCAAAGTATGACTGTATTATATATGCTATAACTTACTGTCCAAACTAAGACATCATTTATTATCCAAACTAGAACATGTTTGAGACTGAAAGAAGCAATTTGAAATGTCTAAACTGAGACAACTGAACTGTTGCAGGCAAACTGGAAAGTGTATATGACTCAAGTTTAAGCATTAGGGAGGCAGCTATTTGGGAGGCAGAGGTTGCAGTGAGCTGAGATCATGCCACTGCACTCCAGCCTGGGCAACAAAACAAGACAAGACTCTCTTTTTCTTCCCCCCCGCGCCCTGAGACGGAGTTTCGCTCTTGTTACCCAGGCTGGAGTGCAATGGCGCGATCTTGGCTCACTGCAACCTCTGCCTCCTGGGTTCAGGCAATTCTCCTGCCTCAGCCTCCTGAGT